ATTAGTACGAAATTTGCAAAGTTGTCTCTTGTGTTTCTGTTACATTTCTCTTAATCGAAATTTAAGGTGTAAAAAAAATTTAGGACTTCCTTTCCCTTGAAAGTGTATTCAGTTTATTAAAAAATAAAAATAATTTTTGTTTACTTCATACTTCAAGACATATTTAACACACAGTCGTGAACGTATTTCAAGGCAGTAAAACCACTTCTGTTACTATTTCCAATAATAATAATAAACTCGTTATTGTGTCTGTTACCCTTGAAGTAATCCTCATTCACACAAGTATGTACATTGAAAAACCAAACAATATACTTAATGTTTTCCGTGTAATTGTACTTACATCTTCCCGTTCACTACCAATTCGTCACCTCACTACGTAGAATTCACTTCGAAATTCATTCAGTAGAATTTCTACTAAAAATTACTACCTTTCATAGCACATATTCAGTTACGTCTAAAACATATCAAGTTTTGACTATATTTTTTCTATCTTATATATTGGGCACTAGATTCTGAACAGTTGAACCATGGCTTCCTCGTGTTTTACGCCCTCTGTTGTATAGAAATACGAGGAGTATAACCAACCCTTGCCCTATTCGTTTAGTTCATTTTCCCATTTGGGATTTCTCATACAGATGCATACCGCATATACCAGTGAATCCAGCGAGTGCTTTGGTTGGCACACGGCTGGTATATACCAAAATAAATTCATAGATAAGGGTGTAAATATTCTTTGTTTTACTCCAAAGCCATTTTATAAGTAATCCAAATCTAAACGGACATTTAGTAATCCTAAGCAACTGATCATTGTCCTATTATAGGCAAAAAGTAGGAAAAATGTTCTAACGAAATGATCTGTGAGAAATCCTTGAATATCTTCAGTAAACTGGCTAAGTCTGACTCATCAAGTTTAGTCCTTCCAGTAAAATTTCTGTTAAAATCCCTAACCAACATCAGCAGTACAATCTGAATTTACCTAAATTTCTCGGTGCTCCCTGTTTATTTTCTATTAGTTCTCTGCATAAATATCATGTTAAAAAATAAACCTTACTACTGATAATAACTGGAAAACAAGTCAGCCGAATTTTCAAACAAAATATGCCTAATAATGGAAATTCATGAAATATTTATGTGTAGTGCTTCGGTTCAATCATCAGACTGAAATCAGTTTGGAAATCTGCAATCAGCGTGAACAACAAGATTCAGATTTTCAACACAAATGTGAAGTCAGTCACTTCTTCAATACAAGTCAGAAACTTGCACTGTGAGTCACGATAAGGATTTCCAACAAGTTACAGACTTTTATCAATAGCTGCCTTCGTTGGCTCTTTCCTGAAGATCAAATGGCCGGCGGGCCAGAAAGAATTAGCAACAAGGAACTCAGGCTGGCAACGAACCAACCAAGAGCCTACTGTTCAACAAATATGCAGAAGAGAATGGAGATGAATTGGTAATACACTGAGGGGGCCATCGAATGACATCACACACAATGCAGGCCATCGCTCGAGTGGAACCCGAAAGGGAAACGACCGAGGGTGACATGCAGGAGATCGAACGAACTGAAGGAGATGAGACATTATGGGTAATCGTGGACCCAGCTAAAGAGAACAGTACCGAATAGAATAAAATGGAGATGTGTTGCTGTAGTCTTATGTCCCATTTGGAACCCGAAGGAATAATGATATACACTCCATCCACTGAAATATAAATGTTTTTGGCCCATTTGTTTTTCCATACATTAAAAACCTAGCTCGAAACCATTAACTCTAATAAGTTTGATGTTAATCAAGCCGCAACCATTGTCTTTTTCTCCTTATAAAATTACAATCTTTACTTGAAAGCAAAACTTTGCGAATGAAACAAAAAACATTTTAGTGGGAATATTTTTATATTAAAGAAAAACCATTTCACAAACATGATATCAGTTGGACACTTAAACAATTCAGGAATCTTGATTTAATTTATTACTTCATGTCACATCTGACACACTTCTATCACTGAATTTCAGTCACATAGCTCAATGAAACATGATCTCTTACCATTTAATCGCTGGACTATGTAATTAAATTAAAAGTAAAATTGAATAAAAGATATTTAAGTCCTGTTGTTTAATTCTTAAAACAGACTAATTATTTCTTTCTTCTAGTTTACTATGGATCCACAAATGAAGACATGTTTGATTGATAAATTATTAATTATTCTTTCTACTCACTTTTCTGTTTTGGAAAAGGTAGCTGCAATAAAAGGTATACCCGAAGCTATTGATGCATATTGGAATCAAACTACACGCATTCTAACTTTCTAATCATTTTGTGTCCCTTAGTGAGGATACTACTTTCCAACCACGTGATGTATCATTAACATGAATACAAATAAGTCAAAAATGATGTAACTGACTCCATCAATTGTTTTTCGCTTTGTTTATTCATTTGGCATATCCACCCCTTATTATTTCGATTATTACTATTTTCTGTATTAAGTCACTTGTCACCTTTGTTTATTTAACTCAATATAACTTTTCAGCAATGTTGCCTTATCAGAATTTTCACCTGCTTGAGTGATGCTTTAAATGCCCTCTATACTTAATAATTCTACACCCCCTAGTAGGATTTAAACATTCCATTATTTCATGAAATGCATAATTGATGTCCTATTGCCTAATAGTTAACTAGTATTATGGTCACAAATATTCTGACGCAATTCACAATATTATATATATATATATATATATATATATATATATATATATATATATACGACTGTACAACTTGATGGTAAATTCGTGGAAAAAAAGTCTCTCTGGTGAGCGACTTATTTTAATTTTCTATAAAACTACTGTAAATAACTCAATCTGAAGGTACTGACAATTTTATCTCTGGTGTATTTCTGCGGTTTAAGTTTCCAACATAAAATTTTCCTGAATACACCACATTTAAGATGGCTAATCCGTGCACATTTCAGTACCTTATTTTGATTTAGAAAAAAATTATAGAAACAAAAATCTGTGTCATAATATTGTTTTTTTAAAACAAGCTGTTTCCCGATATGCTGTTATTCTTCACAATAAATGTAATATGGTATCATTCAGTACCAAGTAATGAAATATGTAAATAGAGTAATAATATCACATTTGTTTTTAAATGTTAGTGTTTTTCACTCCGTAAATTTGTAGTCAAAATCCTATCTAATATGACGTTGGAAACTGAAGAGTGTCCAATTAAGTGGTTCGGGAAAATTACTATTTACTGAGTGGAATAAAATATATTAAAATTTTATTTGACAACATATAAAATGTGAGAAAATTTCAAATGAGATTTCGCTGTTTTTATGTTAATAGCCTTATCATGAATATGACGAGTACGATTTATACAGTGGAAAAATAATAATCGACTTCTAGCAAAAATTATTTTTAAAGTTAACCACTAAACGTGTTCATCTCACTATCAAAACATATGCATGGTGTTCACTAAACCTCAATAAAGAACTTAATATCCGGCATTGAAAAACCCCACTAGCTAGAATGTTCACTGAGAATTCCAGACCCCATCAGAAATATTGTTAGGAACAAAGCCATACTTATTATATTTCCCTGGTAATATCTAAGTATTTATTAACGGTTCTTCAAAGAATTTCTAACCAACTTTAAGAATTCAAGCTAGCAGGAAGAGTAGACATATCTCCAAAACTGCTAATATGGAAATAAAAGTGGCGTAGTTTTCTCAGGGGAATGTCACAAGGGGTACCTCACACATGAGTCACTTCATATTAAGAGTATATTAAATATGTAACATAAATCACTCACCGAAACGAATCATGGTCTACATGTGAGGGAAGTTGCTTAAAAACAAGAAGTGACGAAGAACCTTTCATGATTTGAGGTCTTGCTGAACGGCATACCACAGCATTTCTGAGGTTCACTTGTACGCTTTTCAATTCACATTCACAAGTGTAGAATATGTTTACAGGTCCGTCATAGTCCACTGAATGACGTTCAGAAATTTCAGGTGAGGCCAGCGTAACATTCTGGGACATCGGAAACTGCTCCTCAATTGTCCTGAGACCATTCATGATTAACGTCTATCTAGAATGTATAGAGTAGGAGTAATAAAGCAATTTTAGCATGATCTGGTTGTGAGTGGTCAATAAAAGAAATCCATCACAAGAGATTTTCCATAAAATTCATTAAAAATTGACATTCATATGATAATTAGAATCATGTTTATTGACACTACTTTTTAAATTCGTTTTGGGTGTTTTAATTAGTAACGCAACCGAGCGCGTTTTGACCTACATCGTGAGCGGTCATTTTGTAGTCAGTATTTTTGTGTAGGTTGGTGTAGGAGTGGTCGCGTGCTGACGTGTGAACTGAACGCCATATTTGACTACCTATAGATCTAATAACAAAAAAATCTTTTGGCGTGTGTCATTTTTGATGGTATTAATTCCCGAAAATTGGTGCTGTTGTAGTAGGTGGTAAACCCCAACGTGTATCGCACATGGTCTCAGCTTTTCTTTAGAAATCAACTGGTTTCATAACTATTTTCACCTAAATATCGCTTTGGAAACGTTTTCATTTCTTTTCACAGATCAGGTCTAGTCTCACTTGATGTTCTAAGTAAGCTGATTAATGGCATCACCGATACGTTTGCTACTTTAGGTATTACTGAAAGACACTGAGAATCTTTGCCGGTTCTTTTCTGTTTGTGGTAGACAGGCTACTTTAGGCTTTTTGCTTTATCTAGACTGTTTTGAATATCCCCTGTTCATATTTACTGTCTGGTGAATGTTCAGTCATCTCTAATGTCGAATTAAGTTGAGGACTAAGCTCAACGCCTATATTAAAGATTTTTATTGGTGTGTTGTTTCGTCCTCGGCTTGAACAAATCATTCGAGGGTGCAGCTATAACATCTGAGCATCGGGCTTATGCGTTAAGTACTCATTTGAAGAGGCGTCACTCCAGAGGAGTACAGTTGTGCATTTATTTTCGAACTCCTGCAATATGCTGAGGTACTCCGATCTGATGTAAGCAAGAAAGTAGAGTCCTATGCATATCATTTTTAATTATTTTGGATTGTCTGACAAGAACTGAGTCTGTTAAGTCTATTAGTAATATGCTCATGCCAAGATTCGTTTACGCAGTTGACCGTTCATTCCCAAGTCAAGGCGTAGCTGCTTACTTGGGGTTTTCTCGTTCACCCCTCACCACATCTGTATAAAATGGTGCACATGCCGTTACTGGTTCTATTGCGGGTCTCACGCATTGCTCATAGAGCTCTGAAGCTGCTAGCTGGGTCTGTATGGCTGTTGCATTCATTAGGTCGTGACATACTAGATCAGCACACATAAACTGTAGGAATAGTTATCTTATTGAATTGCACGAATTGATACTTGCCTTCCTGTTGTGTATGATTATGCACTTCGTTGCTTTGCTGAGGTCTATCCATTCTTCGGACCGTCTTTTGATTATTTGTTATCCGTAGGCATGTCCCAACTTTAACTCACTGTTATAGATGGAACCGACTGTGAATAAGTGGACACTTCCGCGAACTGCATTTGTGTTATTTTTTATCAGTTTCCATTTCATTTGAAAATTAAACTTTAAAAACCGAAGTCACAGCCATGAAAGGTGAATCCAATGAAGTCCACATTCTGTTACCTGAGTATTATGAGGTTTAATGTGCGCTAGCAGCTAGTTCCACTGTATGAGAAAGACGGCACCCCATTAATCGTCCGAAAAACCCTGGTTATTAAAAATGGATTAGGTGAACTACTTTACTGCTTAGTGCATGGGAATTAAAGGTACTTCTGTTAGACTGTTGAAGACCTCTGCTTATCCAGTTTTATCAGGACATCAGTATTCCTGTGACATAGGTACTGAGCATAATTACTGACACAAATCAGACCTAAAAATCTCAGTAAAGCAACAGTACTATAGTAAGAAAGTTTCTGTTCCATGAAACTGATTTCGGAAGGTTGTGTGCCATTCGGCTGAGTACGTCACTTAAAGTAAATATATCTTTACATAACTCTCGCTTACTCACCCACTTACTACAGTGGATGGTTCAGTTTTACAGATATTTTTCCGCTAAAACGAAAAAACCGTGATGCTATCATCTTAACTAGGTATTTTAACACTCAGGTATGGGAGACGAGTAAATAGATGTCTTTCTTATGGAGTTTCATGAAGGACAACGGTGGTTGGCTTCTGCTAATTTGTCCACATAATTGTGTGACTCACCTAGTCGCAATTCAAAAAAATCGGGCAACGGTAAGGTTTCCACTTGTTCAGCACTTAAGAAATTCAGGTCTTCTATTAATGGAGAACTTAAGTTGATATTTATCTGAGTAAATAATATCAATACTCATTCTGACGATTATCACCCTTCCCCCTCCCCACTTTGATTGCTGTAAGGTGTTTAGGATATTTAATAACTTGAAGTTGACAAAATGTAGTAGGTGTCTGTAGCCTCATAGACATGTGGAATCAAGATACTGATCGCACGGATGTCGGGGCTTGACACATGAAATGTAATTCCATTATTTAATCACACTTTCTTTAAAACATTTTATTGTTACAAAAATGTTTTAGCAGCTCATTTGCAAGCATTTATTTTCTCACTTTTATAGAAACAATTCCAAAATGTCGATGAATCAGAGTCATTCTGCTAATGGCAATGGTGTGGTTTTGTTTTACGGAGAGCGGTATGTTTCAACGACTGTTGAAATGTAATGTTTTATTTTATTGTAGAATGCTAATTTTTTATGATGGGTGTGAATTAAAACTTACTGGTCAATCTCTTAAATTTTCTAACGATGGACGGGTTTACCTCACTTCACATAGAGTAAGTAGTTCCGTTTGAATTGCTGTAAACATTCTGTAGGTAATTTTTATCAACAAGAAACAATCAGCTGGCATGCTTTCGTTCAGTATGCCATTCGTAAACATGAAAGAGGTCGACATTAAACAGCCGGTTTTTGGTGCAAATCGTATTGAGGGTATAATAACTGCTGAGCCTAATGGCAACTGGCAGGTAAGTTGTTTATTTGCCGTTTTCTTGTGTTAAGGACTGCCGAATTTTGGGTGGTTTGGAAATGAATAGAATAGCACTTGTTAACCAGTCAGTCAGTTATAGTTCATAAATTATTAGAAGTATATCAGGCGACACTTAGTTTAATTCTCTTTTTTCAGAATAGTTAACATGTAGTGCAACAGTGTAATCAACATAATTATGATGTCAAATTTTTTATATTTCCTTTACGTTCCCAGTGGAACATAGGGCTTCAAGCTAGAGCTTTGAAGTTTCGGTAGCAGTGGTGTGTATTTTTACGGGATGGGGTTGCTAGCCTCATGCCAAACCTTCCCTCTTTACCAATCTTATTACTGGCTTATTGAGGTAAAGGAGTGCGTCGGCTGGGGATCAAATCCCAAACCACCTGCACGGTTGGCGAGTATTCCACCGCTGTATCACTGATGCACTACAACGTCAATTTTAGGCACTTAAAACTACTCCAATAACATTGTCTCAGGAAGACCATATATTATAATCTCCGTTTGAACTGTCTTATGTGCAGTCTCACTAGTTCATGTTGATATCTATTGCAAAGTTGTATATCTTGGCGATTCAGTTGGTTCTTACTGAATGTATCATGGTAGACCCTGTGATTTATTTGGATGCAGATTGACAAACGTATTGCTATTATTCAATGTTGATGAAGTGTATTTTTGCTTAGTGTAAGATATCAACCAAATGTTTTATCTGGATGGTCTCTGTTCCCAGTTTTTTTCTATCTTTGAGAATAGGCATGGATGGAATTTTTCGTAAAATGTATATTTTGTCACGTAGACGTTTGCTTAGGTATGTATGAATTTATTCTCATGATATACTTTCTCTGCTCTCTTTTCGCACCCAATGATGGCAATTTATTAACAAAGTGAAATGTGGCTTTAAATGAAAAATATAGTAGGGATCAGACGGTGGTAAGTGTGTCTGTGGTCGGCACACAAAATAATATTTTGCGAATGCAGCCTCGCTGATATCTAAAGCCTAGTTAGTTTTCTCAAATGACTGTAACTACGGATTCTTCAGCTTTGATGATATGTTGATTAAATGACTCCTCAAGGTTTATCGTAAGATTTGTAGCGTTTCTTTAAACCCAGTGTGGTCATCTGTTTACGGGAATTCTTAATTTAAATCGCTATTATAGTGTGATGATGAATACTTCAAGTGTAACTACTGTGCATCCAACCTCTGGCATGGTAAGACCTGCAGGAACATTCGTTCTGACCAGCATTATTTCTGATGTGGTCATTGCACTTTTTAAGCTGGACCACGCCATCTGGGTGGCAGCATTCTTACAGTTAAAACCAACTTAATTATATAAAAGTTATCGGTAGACAAAAGTAAATGATAACTAGCAGCATCCACCATGGCCATCAAGTGCTTCTGTTATGACTTAATTTTTTGTATATTTGCTGGTGTATACAGTCCTAAGTAATTTCGTTTTCTCAGAAATCAGGAATTCTCTGCACTAACTTTTAGTTAATGAATAAGATGCGAAATAGTTGTGTTGATTAGTTCGGTTACTTAGGAAGTTATTTCAGACTGGACGTGTTGTTCGCAGACAGAATCTCAGCACAGATATGATCTCCATCAAGTACTTATGTCAGTGAACTATCCAGCCACCTTCCAGAAGGCGTGTTTTTGGTATTCCACTTCGCTTGTGTGAGACTTGCTAAAATCTTACTAAATGAAGATTTTATGGGTGTCCAATCCCATACATACCAGTTTTTATCACTTTTGTTGTCTGTCCCGAGTTTCCATTTTCCTAAGTGTGTTAGACAGTTCAGCATCAGTTCAAAAATTTATGAAGTAGTCTGACGGAAATATAGCAACAGATTTGAAAGTTCTTGACTGTAGATTTGTAAAAAAATTGTAGGTACTAAGAGTTACTAACTAAGAGATGTTGGCAGCATATTGAGTGTTTGGATTTAATTAGCTCTTTCCATAACCGTGCTGTTTCTGTTCGCCTATTTTAGGCTTGATCTTTCTGAATGTATCCACAGCTTCAAATACCATCGTATTTGCTTCCACCTAGAAGAGTGGTTAGCAACACCAGCCCTCACAAAATAAGTGAGGTTGGTGGCCTAGTACATTGAAAACGTGATCTGGGTAACAGAGTTTCAACTAAGTAAACCAATTTTATGGCTGAATGCTAGAGTCTGTGCTACACATGTGTAAATTCAAAGGAGTTATAAATAAGACCAGCAGGAAGATAGGTGTTTCCCGAAACATTTTATATTCCAGACATCATTACGGTCTTATTTGAATTGTTAAGATTTACTAAATCTAATAATCATTATACTTTTGTTCAGTGTTTCTCTTCGACTGCCTGTTGAGTTTGCAAAGCAACTGCTAAACCGAGTACAGATAACTCTGTCTACAAGTATCAGTTCTTGAAGATTGATAATATATCTGAGCATTTCTTAATGAAATAATTTTTTTGTGTTTACCTTGTTTTTTACCTAGGGTGAGGCTAAGTTTTCGTTAACATTCAATAAAGGTGGAGCCATTGAGTTCGGTACAACACTTATCGAGTTAGGCAAACGTGCATGTGCTGCTAGTCATAATTTCAAACCACCGAATACATATTCGCCTGTTATGGATATGAATGGTGCGGGACAGTATTATGCATGTCCACCACCGGCTTATGCTCCACCTTACAACGACCCTTATTATGGTTTTGTTAGACCTCATGAAGCATTCACTGTGCCTCAAGGTAAGCGGTTAAATATGTACATACGTTCTCTAAAGATCTAAGATTCAATTGATTGTGAAATCTTAGGTGTTCTGGAGCACTTGAATTTCTTCATAATCCGGTTGAGTACTGTTAAAGTTTTTAACGTATAAATTTGGTCTGAACAATTGGTACAAACATATACTTATATTTTTCACCACTAGAGGCCTGTTTCAAAGATTTTCTCCGCTGAATCGTGATATTGCGATGCTGGGGACATCACTCGTACCAAATTCCCATGAAACTTCATGAACTCTCTTACAAACAACTCTCACCATGCTACGGCGTTCCCGGTAAGCGACGCACCCTGTGCTCACCCGGTGGCCAGTGTGAAAAGTAAGCCAGCTGGGAAATTAACACTTAGAAACCAACTATTTGTTGGCTGCTGGAATGTTAGGACGATGTTGGATCCTGGTAGCCAGTCTATCACCATACGTTCTTTATACGACTACAAGGTGGACATAGCGTGTCTATCTGAAGTGAGGTTACCCGATCATGGCTCCCGCCGAATAGCCGTAACTGGAACAGATTCTTCATTCTGGTTGCTTCATAGTGGACCCCAGAATAATTCGGGACAACATGGGGTAGCATTTGCTCTCAGTAACAAAGCCAATAATGCCCTAATATCATTCGAACCGGTCAACTCCAGAGTTGCAATCGCTAGGTTCAAGGGTTCCCCGCTCGACATTTCTGTTCTCGCTGTCTATGCCACAACCCTCGACTCTGATAAAAGTATCAAAGACGAATTTTATGACAATCTTCAAGAGACAATCAACAAAATCCCAAAGCGTGACGTTCTCATATTAGCCGGCGATTGGAACGCCCGCACTGGACCTTCAGACGACGCGACAAAACATATACTAGGCAAACACGGTCTCGATCAGCGCTGCCGTAATGGTGATAGACTTTCAGCTTTTTCTGATTACAATCGATTATATATCACTAACACTCGATTTCAACACCCTAGAAAACATCTCACCTGGTATTCGAACGACGGTCGCACTGCACATCAGATCGACTACATCCTAGTGCGCTCACGCTGGATCTCCTCGGTGGAGGACTGTCGATCCTATCGTGGCACGGAGGCCGGAAATAAAGGGGGATCAGACCATACTCTAGTTCGGGCGAAATTCAAACTTCGTTTAACAACACGCCAGAAGGCGCAACCTCCGAAGCGTATCAAAGTTGCCCTGCGTCAATGTTCGACAAAGCGACAAGCCTTGTCCAAACAAATCCAGGCCGAACTAAGCGCCGCAGATGAACCAACATCCACATCTTCTAATACACCTGAGACACGGTGGAATCATTTCAAAGAAGTAGTCTCTAAAGCTTCAATGTCGCATTTGGGTACCACATCCAACAAACAGAAAGACTGGATTTCAGAGCACACCATGCATCTGTCCTCGCAAGCCAGAGACGCTCGCCTAGCAAAGTCTCCAGTTTATCGCTCCCTCAGGCGCAAAGCTACACAGTCTGCTAGGAATGACAGAAATCGCTGTTGGTCTAATGTGGCGACTAGCATGGAAGCAGCACCAAATGTAGGCGATTTCGGAAAACTTTATCGCCTCATACGCCTATCATCTGGCAAACGCCTTAACAGTCATGCTGTGTTGCGCACAGCATCAGGAGAAATTATTTCGGACACCATTGGTCAGATGGAACGATGAGCCGAACATTTCAAGCAGCTACTCAATCGCAACGCTGGTCAACCGTCTCATCGACCGATACGACACTTATCAACACCCTACGTAGTTGACTGCGATCCACCCACTCCAACCGAAATAGCTAAAACAATTAACAGACTCAGAAACAAAAAAGCTCCGGGCGAAGATGGTCTACCTCCAGAAATATACAAGGCCTGCACTCCAGCGCTAATCGATTCGGTGCACTCGCTGTTCTGCTGAATTTGGGAGTCCGAAACCATTCCTTCCGATTGGAGCACCTCAGTTCTGCTACCGTTCCACAAAAAGGGAGACAGGTCACTATGCAAGAACTACCGAGGCATAAGTCTGATTGATATCGCTGCTAAGGTTTTTGTTTCTATTCTCCTGAACCGCTTCGCTGCCGAACGCCACGTACGAACAAGGCCAAATCAAGCCGGATTTCGACCTGGAAGAGGCTGTGTTGATCAATTATTCACTCTACGGTGGTCTGTAACCAGCGGTAAATTTACTTATACAGAACCAATCCAAGAAACCATTTCATACAGACCGAGTATGACCGGCATCGAGTTGTCCACTGGGCTCTGCTGTCACAAGACTCTAACCCTCTTTCTCTTTCAGGTACCCCAAGAGTCTGTTTCTGGATTCACCAGTTTTTTTTGTGTGTAATCTACTGACGAGATATGAAAATGGTGAAACTGTGTTGTAATATTTTTTATAAGATGTAGTTAGAAAGTTAAAAAAATCACCCGATTTTAATAAAAATTACCATAGGAATATTTTCAATTGAATACAGCCTTGTACAAAGTTGCTGCGCATTCGATCTTTTAGTTCAACACAACTTGAAGCCGATGGTGATCATTGGCTAACTGTAATAGATCCTCACTCGTCTTCACCGAATGTAGATGTGATTTCCTACAACTGTTTTGTTGGCAAGTTTCTGTGTGAAAGTTCGATTTTTGGAACTGTGAATGTGGAATCCGTAATAACAGAACACTGTGAAGCAAAAAATGTTCTATTAAATTCTAGCTATGACTCTAGTGTCGGACGATCGAGTTCTTCACCTAGAACTTCACATACACAGTGCATCAAGTCAGCTAGCCACACTGCGTGTACTACGTAGAAGCAGAGAAAACAAACGTGAAGACACTTTATTGAGTCGAAGTGTACAGGGGAAAATAAGTACATGGGAAATAATGAGAATTCAATGCATCAATGTCACCTACCTACTGTTAAGTTCTAATCACTAGTGGTGTCCGTCAAGGATGCCCATTATACCCTTTTCTATTCAACTTCATCATAGATGTGTTAATGGACTTAACCCTAGGTGACTTCAGCGATTCAGGGATTGACTTGCTACCTGGGAATAATCTCGTTGACTTGGAATATGCAGACGATATAGTCCTTCTAGGCGAAGACGCTGACAAAATGCAGAGTCTTCTAAACACCTTGAGCCGCAATCTACGAATGTTTGGCATGCGATTCGCTCCCGCCAAATGCAAGATGATGTTACAGGACTGGACTACATCGACGCCTAGTTTAAAAATAGGAAGTGAAGTGGTAGAGCACGTTGACCGCTTCACTTATTTGGGAAGTACCATCAGCCAGTGCCAACGGGGTGATCTCTGACGAAATCTCAGCACGAATACAGGGAGCTCGTTTCGCATTTGTTAGTTTACGCCGACTCTGGCGTAGACGAGATATTCGACTATCGACCAAAGGGCAGGTGTACTGCTCATCAGTCCGCTCTGTCCTCCTTTATGGTTGTGAGACCTGGCCACTGAGAGTGGAAGACATGAAAAGACTAGCTGTCTTTGATCATAGGTAATAATAATATAATAATTTTTCCTTCACGTTCCCAGTGGAACATAGGGCTCCAAGCTAGTGGCTTGAAGTTTCTGTAGCAGTATTTAATTTTTACAGGATGGGGTTGCTAGCCTCATGCTCAACCTTTCCTTTTTACCAGCATTATTTCTGGCTCAGTGAGGTAAAGGAGTGCGCCGGCCGGGGATCGAACCCCGGACCATATGCATGGTCGGCGAGCGTGCTAACCGCTATACCACCGACGCACAGATCATAGGTGCCTGCGCTCTATTTCCCGTGTAAAGTGGCATAATAAGGTGAGCAATATTGAAGTTAGGCGTCGAGTTCTAGGTAAACAGGGGAAATCAATCGACGAAGTCGTGAAGTTACAAAGACTGAGATGGTTAGGACATGTGTTACGTATGCCACGTATGCTTCGCGTGCTACACGGAGTGTGGTGACTTGAACTGCCGCACATTTGTGCAAAGTTCTATGCCGAAAACAGACAGAAGTCCTAATCACTAACCACTTTGTAAACATAAAGGACCATATACGTTATAGTGCGAAAAATAAGGCACGTGTACCCCAGCAAAGTGAAAACCGCTCAATTAAACGGTATTGGTTAGAAGAGCCGACTGTATCCTTAGAAGTGTTTATTGTTTCCAAAAGCTAAATTGAAATATATGTAATAGGAAAGAGTTGCTTCGTATAGTTTGGTCATCTTATATTTTCGGGACCAATAGTGTTTGGAGACTGGCAGTCTAACTTGTAATGATGCAGACTGGTATTACCATTGTTAATAACCTTGCTGACCTCCAAGCACTGGAGACGCAAAAATCAAGAGAGAAGCCCCGAGCGACACTGAGTCAATTCGCAACTCGTAAAGTAGCGCAAAAATTCAGTAGTTCTAGTTCCAACATTTCATATGGCACAAAATAATATTTACGGCAAAAGAACTACAACGAAGGAAAGTGTACGCGAGGGATATATGTACATAGAGAATGAGAGTGAATGCATTTTCTCCACCTAGAACGATTTTGATCCATGTCACTTACAATCCCGGCTCATGGGTATGGGTACTATACGTTCTGAAGACCTCAGTCACCTAGTCTTCACCTCCTCACGTGACTCACACTAAGAGTTAATGACTTCATGGATTGATGAAACCTTTTGACTTGGGGACGTGGAACTCTCTCCTAACATAATCCTATATCAGCTAAGATTGTTTGTGGAGAAACACAATGTGTGATGTGTAATATGTGTCCTAGCCATCTGAATCCATGCAGCTTAACAATCTCATTGATTTATTTTCCCTCCCCACCCAACACTACACCTAACCTCAATATTAATCACCATATCACACCACTTAATACAAGAGATAGAAAGCAAACATCTGTTGTCAAAGACAGCTAGCCTATACAACCTTTCCAATGTCCATGTGTCACAGCCATAGAGAAGAGTGAAGTGTATTGCTGCACATAACACATGCCATTCAATTGATGGGAAGCTGAATATCAGGTCTGCGCGAGAGAAGACGAATGTTGGTAATTACTACATGAGCGTTTTGAGACTTCATCAGTAATCAATGGACTGTTATTGATTTAGGTCTTCATATCAGTCAAGCGTTGAACCCCAGCATAGGGTATTATAACATTGCAAATAATCTTCTCATTGAAGCAGTTGTTTTTATTCTTTTGTTGAATTTTTAGCGGAAACACTTTATCATGTAGGTGCACCACCCCCCTATCCAGGGGCTACACCAACTACAATGTCTGGTGGTTACAGTACTACTAACCAGTCTTCTGCACCGTATACGTCGTATCCATCTGGTGCAACTGCACCATATCCAAATACTGGTCCATCAACATTCGCAAGTAAGGTATTTGTATGACTTTCATTATATATTAGTAAATGTAATAATATGATGTGGCTTTTCTCGTTGACTTTGTGTGTCATCTCCAGATATATGAGAATGAGATTCTACTGTCTACGGATAGAGCGTGTGTGGCTAGGGATAATGAGTTATTTACATAAAGTGACCAGAAAATCAGGTGTTCTGTCTTCCCTCCGTTTCCACGGGACAAAATCACAGATTCGTCTTCATATGCAGACAGTGAATGCCCTCAGTAAAGAAAGCTCTGATATTCATGCCCCGCCATATTCATTCTCCAACGCACTTCGAACTAGTATTATTTCTTCCAGGCGATTCACTTATCTCTAAACACCGCCGCAATCGCCAACAATTGGAGTGTGGAAAAATCATCCCGTCTGTCAAACCGTAGTGACAGATTCATATTGTAGCTTTCAAACTTTATATCCTAAGATAATTTGCACAATCGACTTCATCAGCCGAACTAGGACTTCAGATATGCTTATTTTGATACGCACATACATGACGTAATCGTATCTTGCCAACATTGTCAATGTGCGATGTAGTGATATCATTATTCTTTAAGGTATTGAAATTGCTTAATTGAATAACTTATTAAAGCTGAACTCTATACAGAAGTGCAATAGTTCAAGTTGTCATACCTCTGAAAAGCTCACATAGATATGTAAATATCAAAATATAATATTTAACAAATTATCTACCCCTTGAAAGTGGATGCTTTGAAGGTGTTGACAAACTATCCTCTTGATCATTTATTCATGAATGAAAATTCAACCAGCTGAAACCACCACATTTCTGTTATTTAGCGTCTCTGATCAGTCATAAAACCCGTATTATAGTATCCTACCTCATAACGCACATCAACAGCAATGAGGTACTTTTCGCCCATATTTGACCAGTATTTGAAACACAGTTTATGTCTTCCATTCATTTACTGTATGTCGTAGAGCTTTTTTCACATGTCTAATCATATCTGGTAGTATAATGGCCTTCTCCATACTTTGAGTTTATAAGTCCATATGACAGTTTTAATCTTTCTATTCAGTTCACATTAAGATTATGAGGTAAATGATCTGTCCAAAATGTTGCAGTCGTCTATTTCTTCAACACATGTGAAATTAATCATTTTAATGCTTCACGAACCACCTGTACACAATCAGGTTATGGAGTGTGTTCAAGATACGTTTGCAAATATGACACACTTTTGAACAACTAAATAAATTGGATAGATTGTATAGCTTTCTTAACTCTTCATATTTCAGGCAAAGCAGATGAAGCCGCTGCATCCGCTAATGGTCCTACGAATCTAGTAAGTGGAGGTTACTACTTTCCTGATAATCCACATACTGTGTATGCACAACCGAATGCTCCGGGTAATGCAGGTGGTGTCCCACCATATGAAGAAGCTGTTCGTAACGGTCATGATCAACCACCTCCTTATCCAAATGACAATGTTCAACAGAGTGCTTCTTCCAAAAAGAATCAGTGACGGAATTTCATAGAAGTCACCGCTGCATCTTCATACTTTAGAATGTATCAGTCAATCTACAATGCTTGTACTTTGCATAAGGTCTTTGATGGTTTATAATTATCTTTCTCTGCATAATGTGATAACTGTTTTGGTTTTTATTTCCTTAAACCTTATTTTTGATTCCATTCCGATAAATTGGTTGTTTAAACATTACTTATTTAAATAAATTTCAGTCATTCAATTATATCTATGATTTCCTTTTTGTCTTAAAAGGTTTCTGCTGTTTAGTGTGTTAAACTGTGAGTGCTGTAGAGACACGCAACTTTTGTGGGCTTTTCGAGATGTCCGACTGAAAACTTGCCTAGTAACATGGTGTTTGTCACACCCTCAATTCTGCTGTGTACACAAACATGAAAGGCTGTGTATTAGAGTTATGCGCACACATAACCTAATGTCGTTGCTAGTTTGCAGCAAGGCCACAGTCATTTCGAGGTTGGATGTATGAAAGCTGAACTATTTGATGCGGTTATGATTCTTTACTGGCTGGTATGCTGGGTTAACAAAAATCCCACATTATTTAAATGTGAGAACGATAAAATGACCTATCTGATTTCGATATGGTATATAAATTAACTTGGTTTTCTCGATGTTAAGATGATTTATGTGTGTGTATTTGTTGAATGTAGTGATAGTGTAAATGCATTTGTTGACAGACTCAAATTGTTGATTGTTATTCTCTCATGTTCTGATTGGAACATAGAACTTTAGCTGCATATCGCCATTACATCCTGTTCTCTGCAGTCCTTTTTAGGTGTTTCCATTTATAGTAAATATAAACGATATAATATGAGGTAGCGAGGAGTATTAGTGTGTACCGCTTTTGTAGGACTGGTCAATCGTTGCGAAATAACAACACATCCAGTCTTTAAATACTCTGGTTAGGCTGATTATAACATTACACAGTTTATATGTGTGGTAAGTCGAGATGAATGTTAGTGTGTCATCTTCTATATGTTGAATAACAGGGAAGGTGCTTTCTACACTTCTAGCTTGTAATATCGTATTAAATAGAAGCTCAAAAGCAATTATTCAAAAATAAGCATTCCTGTTTATTTATATATAGTGTATTTAGTGAGCGTAAAAGACTGAAAAAGTTAAACAATTTCTTCGAATAATATCACTTCATGTATGACAGGCCATTTTCGCTATCCATCCTTTTGCATAAGATTTCACCAAGGCCTCTTTCTATATGGTTATGCCAATATAATGAGTATTGTGTTGCATTCAAGCTAACACAGAGTTGTTTCAGCTTTGATTTATTCTGGTTTACATATGATAACTAGAAAGAAAGTAGAACATGTCTTCTGTGATATTTCGTAACATAGTTGGGAAATCATAATTAGCGAAGAGATTTAGTAGTGTTTTACCAGAAGTGAAATTTGTTCTAAAGCTGTGATGAATGTAATGAAAGACGACACGCTGCATTAACTAAACTGAATCATGTATTAGGTTGAAACGTGGGTGTAACACCTCTCAGTCTGGTTCAAATGAATTCGTCTTTCCTTCAAACGTCTGTTGTGGCACTAGCCAACCAACACATCTACAAAGATATCTCACTCTTCTGGTATATCTTTATAATGCGAGCTAACATACAATATAGAAACAAGGCGTATAGAACCCAACTTTTGTGTAATAAGTTATAACAGAAATAATGAAATATTGTTTCTTGCCACTTCAGACAAGCATTCATTCGGTTTACATACACTGATCACCTTTTGAAACAGTGAACTAAGCTTGATTACTAAATTGTAGTGAATTAAATAGGTTAGTGAAACAAGTGTAACTGAATGGTTTCAACATAGGACTCTCAACAGAAGTTCGAGTTGCCACACTCCATGTAGCAAACAACAGAAGAGAGGTAATAGACAGAAATATGAGGCAAAAAGAAAAGTAATGTGGAAAAACAATAGAATTTTATTGGATATTATAAATGACAAAGAATGAGTGTATCTGTGTTATTGAGGACGATTTTGAGCCATATCACCGATTGTCTCTAGCCATCGGTTTTTACCGCCCTAAGGACCCCAACCAGGAAGTCTACACCTTCCAATGTGGCTTAAACTAACTGTCGTGGATTTCATTGATTGATGAGACCGTGTTTTGGTTTGACCACCACTGGATCTTTTTCAACCTGATCCATCCTATGTTAGCTAACATTGGCCGTCGAGGAGGGCGATGGCTAGGCATGCTTAACACATGTCCTAACCATCTCAATCGATGTAACTTCACAGCCTCATCGATTGATTTCCTTTCCTTACCTTACGAACCTTCTGTATCCGTGCTGAGATCTCGTCAGCGATCCGGCCGTTTGGGCTGGTGCGACTTCCCAAATAAGTGAAGTGATCAACACGCCCCACCAACTGCTTCACTCCTTATCTTTAAGCTAGAAGTAAGTCGATGTAGTCCAGTCCTGTATCATCATCTTACATTTGACTGAAGCGAATTGCATGCCAACATTTTCGAAGATTGCTGCTCCCCAAACGTATTCAGAAGACTGCATTTTGTTAGCGTCTTCACCTAGAAGGACTATATCATCTGCATAGTCTAAGTCAACGTGATTATTCCCTGGTAGCTAGTCGATCCCTGAGTCTCTGAAGTGAGTTAGGGTTAAGTCCATTAGTACATCTATGATGAAATTGAATAGAAATGGGGATAGTGGGCATCCCTGCTGGACACCACTAATTGTCGGCTGTTCAGATGACAGCTCGCCGTAAGCTCTCACCTGGCTGACTGCATGAGTTCGAGTAGAGTGCCTTGATCAGTGCGATATATTTTCTTGGCATTCCCTTCACGATCAAACATCACCATAGTACCTCTACGATAACGGAATCGAATGGCGCCTCCAACTCAAGAAAAATGACTATTGTTGGACGTCCGTGAGTATGCCTATATTCCAGAATCTGTCGAAAGGTGAATTTGTGATCAATACACCCTCTTCGCGGTCTATAACGTGTCTGATTTTCTCGTGTTTATTTCTCGCCAGCACAACTTAGTTTGCGCATGATTATTCAGCCAAGAACTCCAGATACCATATTAGTCAAGCTGATCCCCACGTGATCATCACAAAAAGACCTGTTTCTCTTTTTGTATATCGGGACAATCAATGACTTACACCAGCCCAGCAGGACTATCGTTGATTCTCAGATGCTGTCTAATACCCTATTTAACCCAGATAGTGAATTGTCTCCGCTGTCTTTAAACACCTCTGGAGTCATTCCGCCGGATCCCACTGCTTTGTTTCAGATTAGAGATAGCTTTTGTAACCTTAGACGGGGGCGGAGGACTACTGTTTACATCCCTTCCAGGTAAGTTTTGGATGCTGGGTAAGTTGAGCGTGGCTGTAGGCCAGCTAAATTAGCGCCTCAACGTGTTTCTCCCAGTATTCCAGTCGTCTATCCTCAGAGCTAATTAGGACTCCATTTTTCTCGGACACTCTCACTTATCATTTGCCTTTTGCTACATATTTCCTTGATAAGCAAACATAGTAGTCTGGTGCTACCTATCGCTGATACCTTTCCCATCTTTTTCGCTTTTGTCGCCCACCACTGTTCACGGTTGTTGAGAAGGCGTTTTGTCAGTTTGCGTTTGAGAAGCCTCCACTCTTCATCATATTTGGAGTTCACTTCGGATGAGTTAGTAGAAATCCACTGGCTCCTACTAACTTTTGGTTTTATGGTATTAACAGCCTTTACAGCTGTGTCTACAGCTAACTGTATATTGTGCCAGGCTTCCTCAGGAGGTGTCTTACTGCCGATCTCAGATACGCGTTTAGCTACTTTCCTTAAATAGGGACTCAGTGTACTGATCAAGTTGGAGGCACGAATCAGGGCGCGATAAGAGTCTACGCACTTGTTTTAGAAGGAGCGACAGTTTTATCTTTACCCTCGCCAGCGACAGCCCATCACTATTTGGTCTATTTGAGTCCAAAGTTGATTTGGTGGTGGATGTCGTCAGGTTGGGCAATATCTCTCTTTGTGCCTGAATTTAGTGCTGACTAGGAACAGATGATTATCCGATCAGAACTGTAGAAGACCATCACCCTTGTTGGTTCGTCGGCAGAGAACTCTTTACGTACCACGTACTTACTTCTCAGTCTGGCACAACTTCCCTACTTGGGCATTGAAATCGCCTGCTAAAACAACTATATCTGAACGTTTTGCTTTTTGCAGCAAATAAGACAGTTTCAGGTAGAAGTCATCCTTTATTTTTTTCGAACTGTAGTGTGTTGGAGACTATGGAAAGACATCGGTGGATAACGCCGTCCTTCCTTCCTCTAAGTTACCCGTTCAGATGGACCGCACACATACGACTATCTACTGGGATCCGGTCAAGAAGTGATTTTTCTGCCCTACCACTAAATGCTACCCCTACACTTGTGAGTCCTCACGAACTAACTGAGGAGTCACGTCACACCCTTAAGGAGAATTTTTAGATGTACCTTGTTGACGGGGCTGGTTAAGTGAATAACCACACTGGAGTATTGAATGCATGTCTCCGAAACACAACACATTTATGACTCAAGATGCTAGAGTTCTGGTTAGTGATGCCAGTTATCCGACTCGACCGAGGGTCCTTACATTAAATGCGCCGATATGAAGTTGACGGTGTGGCTTTAAGAGGCGATGGGAGTGTTTTTCTGGCTTTTGTCACTTTTTGTAGTCACGGAATGAAAGCAAAGTGATTGATCAGCCTGCAGTGCAGTATTAACAGTAGGAGGAATACAGGATGAAGAGAGTGATAGGGATAAAGGAGGAGGAGGATAAAGAAGTGTTTGGGTGGTTGTTACTTCTCGGCCGCCCACATCCTGGAAGTTAGTTTATTCTTGGGGTACCTGAAACAGAAAGGGAATTAGTGTTGCCCGGCCGCAGAATTCGGGGGACAACTGCTTGAGGCCGGTCAAACATGGCCTGTTTGAACTGGCTTTTTGGTTTGGTTCCGTATTAGTAACTTACTATCAC